CCCCAAAACCCCAAAACCCCAAAACCCCAAAACCCCTTTAGTAATTCAAAATATTTAAATTTAAATATGAATAAAAGCTCAAAAAGACCGGGTTATAGAGAGCAAAGACAGGCCCCACAAGCTGAGAAGTTTGATCCAAATAGAAATATGAGATCCCCACAGGAGAAAGGACATGTAAACCACCTAATGAAGAACGAAATCGAAGAGCTTAAAGACACGGTTAGGTAATTTATATACTAATATCATACCAATTCTTTCTGGATTGCCTCAATTTGTACCAAGCCAAAGATAGATTATCTTTCTCGTGAAACCTCTTAATAATCTCTGGCTTTAGGTATCTTGAACATCAACTAGTCAGTAAGAGACAAGAGCAGGAGGAATATCTTCAAGAAATCTTCCAAGCTAATGCTCAGGCAAAAGACTCAGAGGTTCAGTGTATCAAGGAGCAAGCTATCACACAAAAGCATGCTCAGAACTATAAGCAGCTTGAGAAAAAGTTTGAAGACCATAAAGTCGCCCAAGACCATGTAATATTACCTCCTCATTAATTCTTTAGATCGTGGAAAAAGCAACATTGAAGTTTGGCGATTACCAAAATGAAATTAATAATAAGGAAGAAGAGCTTGCATCAATGAGAGCCAGACTTCATAATAAAGCTGAAGAGTTGAAGATCGCAGAAATTGGAGCGGTCACCAATCATATCAGAGCCAATGATTTTGGAGCTGAGATTGTTGAGAGAGAAGAAATTATCCAGCAACTCAAATCTGAAGTTCAGGACCTCAAACAGCAATTACATGAAACTCAAGGTTTGTGGCTTTATTTCTATTCGAGCAGAAAATTTCCTGTGGTTTAAAATTAACTAGGAAATATAATTTTATATAGCTCAAAGGAAAAGCGAAGGAACGGCTCTGCTAGAAGTCGAACATATTAAGGCAGACAATGAAAGATTGATCAAACTCCTCAAAAAGACTAAGGAATTCAAGGAATTTGGAAAATATACAGAGACTATTTCTGGATCAGTTCGATATCTCCCATCAGCTCAAACAGAGAAGTGTATTGTCAAGAAGTGTCCTTCGAATGCTACTGGAGAGAACATCGACCCTAACATTGAGAAAGACCATTGGATTCCTCAAGAAGCTTTTGAAATCGCTTACAAAATCAAGACAGAGCACGATGGACAGCTGAATGATTTGATGATAAACCAACTTCTGCAATCTCTCAACAAGGTATGGAGGGAAAGAGAGAGAAAGAATATTGCTAGGAGTAAATAACTTGCCCTAACTTTTAGTAAAATCTAGCTGCAATCATCAGTTGCAGAAAATGAAGAGACAAATTACTCACACAGAACCCCTCACTGAAGTTAATGCTAGGAGTGAGATTTCAAGGCTCAAGTATCAGCTCTCAGATACTCAGAAGAAATTGAGGGAAAATGTAGTTCTTGGAAAAAGGAACTTACGAGAAGCTAGTATCACTGATGAAGTAGAAGCTGCCTTCAAAGTTGCTGGGTGTCTTCAAGATGAAAGAAATAGAGTTGTTCAAGAGAACAAAGCTTTAAAAACTAGAATTATAGATGCAGAGAAACTTCACATGAATGAAGATTTTGAGAGGTCTAAATTTATGCAAGGTGCTGCCTGGCAAGCAACTAAATCTTACCATGAGACTCACGCCTTAGAGCAAAAGATCACAGATCTTGTTACAGATTTCAAAGATCATGAGAGAAATCTATACCTTAAGGATGACCAGATTGGTCTTCAACTTTTTAGGGAAAAGAATCATCAGATTGTGCTTGAAGAGATAAATAACTCTGTTAAGGATACCACCAACAACTTCAAGAAAATGATGGAAAATGCCACTGACCATTTTGATCACTCAAATAAGCAAGTTGAGGTGCTTGGAGGCAAAGGAAGCTATATTCATTAATTTATAAATCAATGAGGATTGTTCCTAGCGGGGTTTTGGGGTTTTGGGGTTTTGGGGTTTTGGGG